TGTGTAATTATCTGCGTGTTCTCGAGACGGGAACCAAAGTACAGAGAGCACAGCACCGAAACACTTAACAGCACGTGTATTTGGCAAATGGTGGCCACGCTTTTCCATCCTGCACTGCTATATATTCACAGCTATGTGCTATTTGCTTCACTAGTGACAAAATGGCTGATGTAACCTAAAATTAATTCTGCTACTTATAAACCATGCTGTGCTTGCCGCTTTTAATATCAAAATGCAGAGTATCATGAATTCAAAAAGAGCCATCTCCTAAAATGGGTTAGCACTGATCCCCGTAAAATGAGAGTCACCACACAGTCCACAGATCCTCGGCCTTTCTTCTTCATGCTGCTAACTGTGCTCTGAGCATGATAATGAATAGTACAGGTTCGGGGTTGTTTTGGTTTTTTGTTTGTTTTGGCAGACTCCATATTAATTCTACACCAGGTCTTTCTAATTGGAGCTCAAGTGTTGAAGCCGGTGTAAAAGCTCCGTTTAATGACGGCATTTCTTCTAATAAAAGGGCACATTCCTCCCAGAGCCAGCTCATTTTGGACACTTACTCTTGGGTGCTATTCCTGTGGCTGTAACAAATGCCTGACAGGAACAATTTAGAATAAGAAGGGCTTATTTTGGCTCTTAGAGGGGATATGATCCATCATAGCATGAGGCCAGGACCCGGAGGCCACTGAGTGCGTTGGATTCCGCAGGCAGGAAACAGATGCGAATGCAGATGCTAAACGCAATGTCTGCCTTTGCTCTTTCTATTCAGTAGGGCATCAGCCCCTGGTACGTAGGAGGTGCCTTCCACATACTGGGAGGCTCTTCCCTTCTCGAGGTAAACTTCTCTGCAAGTACTCTCAGAGACAGAGCTGGATGTGTTTCTCCTAAGTGATTGCGAATCTGGTCAGGTTGACAGTGAAGATTAACTTCTCTCAGTGGCTGGGATGGGGGTGGGAAGTGTAAAGCATCATTTAGATGTTTTCTAAACTTATAACAGTAACTTATTTCTTTAGCCAATTTATAGGTTATTATAAAGCACTGTAAGATTTTCCTCTCAACTTGAAAATCCTTTCAGTAATAATTTTCTGTATGTTCTTTTCATGTACTTTACCTGTTCTACCTTACAATCTATTACTTATATCTGTCTTGACTTAGCAATTTTTTTTTAGGAACAGAATTTCTGTGCTATATATTCTTGCACTCTTGTCTTCTGCCTTGGTCTCAGACTATAAGCCACTGATCCCCCTATTAATCATTTCAAATAACAGTAGGAATCCAGAAAAGCATTCAGATCAGACTTTGGAAGTTAGTCACCTGTGGTATACATGCCTGGATGTTTAGGAGGCCCAGTGGTAAAGTAGGGTTGGGAGGACAGGGGTAGAAAGACAGTCCTGTTCTGTGAACCGGCCCCATGTCGTGAAGTACTAAACCTCAAAGGATAATTAACCTCTGGATAACTAGAGTGCTTAGGGAGTTGCCTTCTTCCCTTGGGTTCGTTAAATATAATTGACAAATACGTGTTTTGCTGGATACATTATACAATGGGTTACTCTGATTCATACATCCATTATAAAATGAATAAATGAGAGGTAATTAATGCATATGTCATCTCATACACTTGTACTTTTTATGGTAAGAACTTTTACGATCTAACTGAAATTTTATATCCTTTAAGGAAATATTCTCATGTACCCTATTCCTCTCCCAGCCCACTAATACTCAGCCAATTCTTCTCAGTTATCTAGTCTTTTGTTTTGTTTTGTCTTTAGAGACAGGGTTTCTCCTTGTAGCCTTGGCTGTCTTGGACTCTCTTTGTAGACCAGGCTGGCCTCAAATTCACAGAGAGCCACCTGGCCCTGCGTCCCCGAGTGCTGGGATCACAGGCGTGCACCACCATGCCAGGCAGGCATTCTAATCTTGAGGTTAACTTTTTTTCATTCCAGTATGTAAACACCTGTCGAGGCTCTCCTTTGTAGTGATGAATATTTTTTTACCCAAAGTATTGTCAGTGTTCTGATGACTCGTTCAGCCTTGTGGTTGTAAGGTCAGGATAATGAAGGGTCACTGTAAAAATAAGATCAACAGTTTCAATGATGGCAAAATAAATATTAGTGCCATGATGGTCCTCTGGAGCCGCTCCTTGTGGGTCAGCTGCTGGCACTGTGTGCTGTTTTCTTGTTTTGCTTTCCTGGAACCATACACTCCCTTTGCTTTTCTTTAGTTAAGGAAGTAGCTCATGAGAAGAGCCTACTTTTTTGTGGGGCATGGGGGCAGAGCACATGTGTTGCAGCCAGGCCTTCCACTCAATCGTCTTCCCACTGCTTGACCGGGAGTTCTTCATCCTGGAGAAACTGAGTCAACTGCAGATGGCAATTACTGCACCATTGTCACCAATTATCGTCCTAGGATAATGCAATTAGCTACACCTAGGACTTTATTTTATATTTTCCTAAGTTCTAGAATGCATCCAACTCTTAAGTAATTTTTCTTTTCCCCACACTCTTTCATCTATTTTTTCCATTGCTTTGGCACTCCCTTCAGACACCCAGTAGCCAGCAGCGTTCTTGACGCCCTTTCTGTCTTTGCCCCTCTCTCCTCTACATGGCACTGCTATCCAGGCACTGATGAATTTCACTGCTCATACTTGCTCTTCCTCCATCCATTTCTTTTCTGAGAGCAGACGCCTTCATTTGTTTCTTCTTTAATTTCTCCAGGATGCCATACCGCTGACGAATTACTTTTTGACTATCTAATTCCCTAGAAAGAATTCTCTTTTCGTTTTTAAGGAAAGGAGGGGCAGAAGGAAGCAGAAAGGGCAGAAGAAAGTAGAAGACTGCAGACTAAACAAATGCAGCACCATTGGGCAAGTAGGAAGTCGAGGCAGTTTAATGGGGTCCCACTCCCATCCCGGAGAATGTGAGCTCTCTGTTTTCTCATTATTGTTGAGATTTTCCCTCCTTCCTTTGTACTTGCCACGTAGTGTTGCAAGTGTCCCCATCAGATCCCGCCACAGAGGTCTTGGTAAAATGATTTTTCATTTGAAAAATATAACAAAAGTCTCAAAAATTGTGTCATATGTATCTTATTCTCTAAGAATTCTGGGAGCGGGGTGTGGTGGCACAGGCCTGTAATCCCAGCATTAGGGAAGGCAGAGGCAGGCGGAGCTCTCTTAGTTTGAGGCTAGCCTGGTCTATAAAGGAGTCCAGGATAGCCAAGGCTACACAGAGAAGACCTCGAGAAAGAAAATAAAAAGAATTCTGGGACTTCTGAACTGTTTGTGAAACTGTGTGTGGTTCACTTGGGTCTTCTACACACCCTAGCTCCTGATGATGCTGATGGTGACAGTGAGGTGAGTGTTGAAGGCAAAAGGACGATAGTGGGAAGAGAACAGAGGCCGTGATGACCAGATGGGACAGTGGGAGAGGCTAAGTCGGGAAGATAGCTGCCAGGACAGATGGATTAGAACACATGCCACTTGGTCTTTGTCCCCTAGCCTCTGGGTTTTGAAAGGAATCAGCAGTGCCCTGAGCAGCATCCTGAAGCTGCTAGAGGGTTGTGTTCTATCCTCGTGTCCGGATGGCTGGCCCTTCCTGCTAGCTATGGTGGGACTGAGCCTCCTTCTCTTCTTCCCTCGGGCACCCAGTTCAAATTGAGCGGTTGAGGGCGGGGTGGAGAAGGGAAGTGGAGAACAGGTTGAAGGTTCTGAAACCTGCCACACCTCACTCTCACTGCCATTCTCTGAGACAGTGATGCCACCACAGGCATCCTTTCCAGTTCTTTTCTTTGTTACTGCCTCTCAAACAAACACGTTGACAAAGACAGCAATGGCTATTCACTGCTTTCCATTACTATTTAGGGAGAATAAAAGGAAGACCCTATGTGTCTGGATTGTAGATAAGGTTTGCAGGTTTTCCAGTGTGATTGAAGTCATTTTGTATCGTTGGTTTTAGGGGACATTGTAGTACTATAAATTAATGATGGGGATTATTCAGGAAATGATGCTGACAAATAATGATATAGATTCAAGACCATCAGGGGATGGATTTATTGTTTTCCCCACTATCCAAACTCACTTTAGGTGGAGTGAGGATTTATTTAAAAAAAAAAAAATGAGTCAGTGTTTTTAAGTGAGTCACTTTGAGAGGTTCCGTTTTCTGGTGAGGATACAGTGAAGAGGCCTGGTACCTTCTTGTTTAAAATGTTGAGAGGAGGGGGGAATTGAAAGAGAGGCTATGTCTTTGAAGTGTATATACTGGCATTTTCACATTAGCTTCCTTTTTGTAGTCCTTGCCTTAGAATTGAGAAAATTACATGTGAAATAAACATTGTCATCTGCACACCATGCTGTGATAATGTCATTGTAATTGGGATAAAAAAGAAAAACAGATAATTCTGAACTGACTAGATTCCTTTCTGTTTGTCAAAGTGTCCTGTAGCCTAATAAATTCTCAGAAAATGCCATTTTGAGTTTCTTTATTATATCATAATAAGAATGTAACTTTGATTTTATTACAATCGCTTTTGTGGCTTCAATTTCAGGAAAAATCATTGTTTTTAACAATTCTTGAATGCCTGTATCTTGAGGTTTGTTTTCAGGCTTCTAATGTTTGGTAGATCATTATCTGTAGGCCTTATGGAGTTGTTTTTTAAGGTAAAGCTCTCTTTTGATCTCATTGCCCACTGTCTGTTTGAAGAGTAAGTGTTGGTGGAGCGTTATGTCCGACAGCCAGGGCTGGAGGACAGGGTGCCATGGCTGCAAGCCTGCTGCCTGCTCCTAACTCTCTGCCAGTGAGTCTCCAGTTCCTAGAAATTGGGAAACTCGTGTATTAATGTGTAAAACTGTTCCTCAAGGATCATTTCTAGTTTCTATCAATTTTGTGTGCTGGTAAAATCTGAAACCATAAGCCTGAGCTTATGAGCTTGTGGAAGCACATTCTCTTCTTAGACTACATGGTCTGTTTCCTTCTTCCCGTAACTCGCATGTCTCTCCTTTGTCTTAGGACTGGCAGTTTCCCTCCAGCTGTTCCATGGTGACATTGAACAAATCAGGAGAGAGTACTCCTCGGTGTTTTCTCACGGAGTGTCCATAACGCGGAAGCTGGGTTTTTCTAACATCATCATGCCTGGTAGGTGACTTCGTCTGCACCAAAACGCCGAAGTTCACGCCTAGTCTGTGGTTCTGACACTTGAGAAAATTGTCAGGTTGTCAGCTTTGAAGTGTTCAGGTGGCCCGTGGAGCACGAGCAAATTAAGAACTGTTATCTGAAATGAAGTACCCCTGGTGGTCGTGGCTGCGTTTCCCTTACGCCTGTAACAGCAACTAAAGCTGAGCTACCATCCAAAATACTTGATCTCTTTGTGGAGAAGTTTACATCACGCTAGCTGATATCTTCACAGGGCTATTGTTTTCCTTCTTGAACGTAGAGAACAGTATATGATAAGGACAAAACATGATGAGTTACGATAGTTGATCAAAATATAATAAACTTGTGTTTAAAAAACCATGCTCAGTGAAGGCCAACTCATTTCTGTGAGTACCTCCTTGCGTTTTAGATGGTGTTGGAGGGGATATGAACATCTGGAACTAAAGGGGGTGATGATCAGAGGACGTAACGGTGAAGCTTTAATGTTTGATATCAGTACCTCTTTATAAAGAAAACGTTTTACTTTAATATGGTTTAAGACTATATTATATAGTGAGTAAATTTTTCACGTTATATCTATTTTTATTTTTTATTATTCATACAGCAGCATCTCCAGAGGTAGTGATCCCAGCCCTTCTTGGGGTTCTTGTTCTCCTCAGTGCAGAGAGTAAACACCGGCTGTGACTCCACCGCCCAGCTCTGAGACCTAGTGGTAGAATTGCTTAGACAAGACCCCAAATGCTCTGTACTTCCCACAGTACCATCTACTGATCGCTTGATTGAAATCTATTCGTGCAGGAAAGGCTGGGAGAGCAGCTTGGAAGGCCTTCTGCAATGAACTGGCCGCGTCATCCTTAGCGTCTTTCAGGACTGTTGTGGAAAACGACTGTTTATAAATCTGTTTACTTGGTGACATCCTAGCCAGTGGCTCTCGCAAGCAATCATTATTTCCCCTAGTTGCTATAAATAACTGGTATTTCCTCTTTAACAAAAAAGAAAAACATTCATCCCACTGGGAAGCAAATTGATGGGCAAATCTAATATAAAAAAACCATGTGTGGAGCAGAGCACGGCCAGCCGCCTGGAGGATTCCTCATCTCAGTCCCTGGGCTGTGTCATCAAGGAGTGGAAACACATAAAGCAGGATGGCACTTCTCCGGCTGAGCACTCGTCTGGGTGGCTCTGCGCTCCTGTTGCTCTTGTATGGCGTTAATAATGGGGGAATGGGGAGTGGGGCTAGCTTCTGTCTCTTTCTGGCAGGGCTCTGTAACAGATGCTTCATACCGTCCAAGGAAACAGTCTCTCCAGACACAAACAGATCTGCATGCCTTAGACTGCAAGAAAAGTTTTCTGAAAGCACTTCATTATTTCTTTTCTTTTTTTCTTGTCTTCTTTGACTTCCTAATGTTCCATACAAGATGGAGATAAGAGAGATGTGTGTAGTTGCTTTAGCTCCCAGACTCACAGGAATTTTTACAGTGAGACACACAGTCATTGCTCTACGGTCCTTTGTTGTTTCCAGACTACCTAGTTCATTCTCGCCAGTGGCTGAGTGGAAACTGGAGTTGAATGCTCCAGTGAGAAAATGTTTATGAACAGCACTGTCCTGTGGGCAGTGCATGCATGCATGGCCCCACCCACCTCGTTTTCTAGACTGCCCTTCAAAGTTCATTTGCATCTAGTTCTCTGATGGGGTCAGGACAGGTGAAATGTGCACATCCCACACCAAGAGGAGTAGTTTCTTTAGCCCAGTCAACCTCTCCACAAACTGATGGCCTATGCCCTTGACACAGACAGAACTGTTTTTCAGGTCCACAGCACATAATCAGTGTTCCTTTTGAAAGTGGGAAAGCTGGAATCAGGAAGCCTTCCCTTGGCCTTGCTGTTGCACAGGGGGCTCACTTTCACCTGTATGAAGGGAGAAGAGGGGCGTGCTTTTGTGCTTTCAGGCCCAGGGGGCAGACATTCAGTGCTTATTGTTTTAGTATTAATTAATTATGAATTGTTGTTATTTTAGTATATGGATATATAGCTGCAGGAAGCCATTTTCTAAGATACCTTATCACTGTGATATACAAACCAGAAACTATCTCTGAGGGAAATTTCATGTTGCAGGCTGTGACGGGGAACAGCAAATATTTAAATGTCTGCTCCCCACAGAAATGTAGAGTGAGCCCAAGTGTAATTTCAAATAATAAGGAGCCTTTATTTTAAAGAATAAGAAGTGGTAAACTTGATTTCAGCAGCACATGTTGTTAAACTGAGTGCATCCCCAAGTATTATACCTCAGTAGGTGATCTACAGAGGAATGTTCTGGTCAGTTATTCACACTGTTTTCCAGTCTCAGTCTTTGAAAGCTGCTGAGTGTTGGACATTCCCAGCACATGTCTCTATAGCCAAGCCACATTTCAACTGCTCAGTTGACACATGGAAGCAGTTACTATGTCGGATGGACTGGTCCTAAGTGTCTTAACAGACCCCATGGAAGCCAGGCCCAGGCCATTCCGACTGCGAGGAGGTCTGCGTTCCACCAGACATCTTGGAACAGTTGACTGGTGTGTCTGAAAGGTCCTAAGAGGCAGCCTGTCCCCTCCGCACACCACGTAAGCACTCACTCCTACTCTAGGTTTACATTCCAGGCAAATCACTGTCCTATCGTGTTCCGCTACCTCGTCTTCCTGGCTCATGCCCTGTTCCCTGCAGAAGTGCTGTCACAAAGTGATTGGCTAAACTGGCACTTTTTGTTAGAGAATCCATCGTTAATACTGAAAGATTTTACAAATCTTTTTACAAATCTTTCAGGCTTCTAGCCCCAATAAGAATTAAGTGTAACTGCTAGACTACTAGGAAGAGGTAAGGACTGAGTTCAGAGACTAATTTTGATACTAAACTTAAGATTTGTTTAAATTTATTTTGCAGATAACTTGGCGACTTATAGATCTGGCATAATAATATAATAGATATGTTTCCCTGCTGTTTTTTAAAAAGGAATTCCATTCTTTTAAATGTAGGTATTATGCTTTGCTGCTTACTATAAGAAAGCACATGTAATGGATAGAATCGGTCCTGCAGAGATCCTCATTTTGGAGAAAATAGATGAGAGCTGGTGTGATATGATTTAATCTTCCTTAAAAATATGTCCTACTCGGTCAAGATCGCTCATGCCTCTAATCCTAGCTGCTTGAGGCCTGAGGAAGAAGGATGGCAATTCGGGGCCTGCCTGAGTTTGTAAAAGTGTTTTCTGAATTCAGCTAGAGTTTACTGAGCCTTGACTGGAGTTGTTGAGATTCTGCCTCATACAGGGGTCATCACTTCTCTCAGATGTGAATCCTGGTCACTTGGAAAGGTGTTGTACTTTCAGTCATAAGATGTCGGTGAGAGACAAAGGGTTTCCTTCCAGCCAAGGGTCAGACCAGCCACCGGTGGTTCCCAGAACAGGCGTTCGTGTTCCAGGACTAGCCTGACCAATGCACAGTGGCATTGTGAATATCTTCCTTGAAATCTCCTGTGATGACCACAGCTAAATTCACATACTTTCATCACTTCAGTTAAACATTTAAACACGTTAGTTTCATCTACCAAGTGCAATGGCTGGTGCCTTCCTATAAATGCAAGAGAAGATCTAGCTAGTCACTCCAGTGCTCTGTGAAGAACCAAACTCGTGGGCGCATTTAGTAAAGTGCCCTGTTGTTGCTCATACTGCAGGGACCGCTGCAGCGGAATACCCCTTGTCTAGAGCTGGGAAGGCCGGAAGTGTTTGAGATGTCAGAGGTGTGTGAGAATTGAAAATTTTTCCCATGGGGCTGGGAGCACTTAGGATGAGGCAGAGGCAAGCCAGTTTCTGCACCTGCAGCCAGCCTGGTCTACAAAGTACGTTACAGGCCAGGCAAGGCTACATAGTGAGACCCTGTCTAAAATAAAGAAAGGCCGAGGAGACAGAGGAAGAAAGGAAGAAACAAATTTTCCATGAAATTTATTGGTTGAACATCCCTACAATAAAAATCTGGAATACTCTGGTGTCTTTGACTCTGAGTGTTGTGTTGGTACTCAAAAGGTTTTGGGTTTTTTAATTAGGGATGTTCACCATCGTCAGTTATCTTAGTGTGTGGGGAATCCTAAGTCATTTGTATATTTTCTTTTCTTAACTGAGGGTATTGTTCTCTGATTCCCTAAACTACAAATGCTCAAAGAAAGAGCTGGGCCAGCCCTGCTGTGACCCCATACAGTGGTTCTATGATGAAGCCCACATCTACTTTGTGTCAGAGTCCAGAACAGTACAAGACACAAGGACCCAGGGGCATACCCTGTGACAGAGACCTTGCTCATTTCTGTCATCAGTTATCCTAGTGACTGCATGAATGGTGTGTTTTCATTTTGTTCCCACTAATATGACTATCTTGCCTACAGTAGTTTAAGAAACCCTTAGGTGTATGCAGGCTTCCTGGCCAGTAGGCCTGCTAAAGAGAAGCGAGTCCTGCACAGTAAATTTACAGGGCAGTGAGTCTGAGATGTGAGGACTTAATGTCACAAAACCAGCTCCTTTCACTAGCACAGGGAGTCCATTTCGTACTGTACGGTTTGTCTTCTAATTACCCAAGATGCTTTCCTAACGCGGGTTGGGCTTGCTAGTCTTCTCCAGAATCTTCAAGTACATTGATTTTAATTAGCTCTCATTTCAACTTTCTCCTTCTGCATATTTTGGCAAAATGTGGCACCTTGTGGTACTGGAACATAGCAAGCTGTGAAATTCCTGGAGAGAGGCGTGTTGTAGAATGCCACCAGAAAAGAATGCTCTTCTCATCGTGTGTTCTTTGCAAAGGAATCTTGCTTAATCTAGAGGATTTGAAAAAAAAAAAAAAGGGAGGAGGATAGTACAGGAATGGGAACAGAATATTAAAGCGTGTGTCTAAGGGCTTTTCTTTTTAAAACAATGGCTTTTGTTCTTTGAAAGTGTAAAACATTCATATAGTGTATATTGATCACATCCACCCATGACTGCTTTCCTCATTATCCCTCTAGTGACTCCATCCCACTCCCTCCCAACTTCATGCTCTGTTTTTACTTTTATTTTTTAATTAAGAAACCCGGGAATCCAGTCCAAGCTGCCCGGATGCACGTGGGATCACCCATCCTGCCAGGAGCCCCAAAGGAAAGTGACCCTTCCTCTCTCAGCTCCCTCAGCTGCTGCTGCGAGCTCCTTCAGCACAAGAGGGGGTCCCGTCTATGAAGAATGTTGACCAGTGTGGTCTGCTGGGCATGTGTGTACTCTAGTCCAGGCGTTTTTTTATAGTCATAGAAACAGCATTAAAGCAAAGGCATCATAGGGACCAATAACATGGCTCAGGGGAGCTGAGTGCGGTGGCACACACCTTTAACCCCAGCACTCAGGAAGCAGAGGCAGTGAGTTTGAGGCCAGCCTGGTCTACAAAGTGAGGCCAGGACAGCCAGGGCTGCACAGAGAAACCCCGTCTCAAAACCAACCAACCAACCAACCAACCAACCAACCAACCAACCAACCAACCAACCAACCAACTAAACAAGATGGCTCAGGGAGTAAAGTGCTTACAATAAAGGCTAATGGCCTAAACTCCATCCTGAGAATCCACATAAAGGTAGGACAGAACTCATCCAAAAGATTGTTCTCTGAACTCCATACATGAAGCATGGTTTGTACCCTCCCAAATAATAATAATAATTAATAATAATAATACATTGAAGTTTCAAAGCACCCTGTCTAATATCTGTCTTCTCTTCACCTCTGCCTTTACTTCTCTACTGTATTAATAACACAGGCAGTGGAGTCCCGGGGGTTGATATTGTACTGTCTGGACTTAGTTCCCAGAGAAGCAGGGGCAGAAGCAGAGCTAGAGCCTTCATTTCCTTATTCTGATTGTCCTATGGCCCTATCGGCATTAGGCATATCTGAATTCAAGCATTTCTTTCGTAGGAAAGGATGGAAGAATGTAGGTATCATGACTTCAGTTGGCTTTGAAAATTTACGCGAGGCTCAAGCGTCTTTATTCCATGCTGTGTTGTTGAGGTGTGCCGCTCTGCCTGTTCTTACCAGGGCCCTCTTACTATTAACCGCTATCACTCTTCCCCATGCCCCAGTCACTCCCATCTACCTCTTTCATCTTTTATCCACAACGCTAACCACTCATGAGCTATCTGGCTCATGAGGACTAGGACGGTGACTCTGGGAGTTGGTGCTTGCTGCAGAAGCGTAAGGAACAGAGTTCAGCTCCCCAGTGCTGCATATGAGGCAGGCTTGTTGACACATCTCTGTGATCCTGGCATGGGGATGTGGAGACAGGACGACTCGCTGGGCAGTCACGGTAACTAAAACACATCCTCAAAAAAATAAGGCAGAGGGTGATAGAGGGAGCCACCCAACACCCGTCTGCCTTCCATGCACACACACAGAAACACACATGAACTCACCACATACAGCAGGCACACAAAGACCTGGCTCCCTACATCTGGAACTTCTGCCCCATTCATGGTGGCATTTACTTGGTCTAGAATATCGTGTCTGTACATAGGAACTACTTGTGAAGCGTGTGAACAGCAGAAAGAGAAGAGTGTGACAGTGGCGGTGCATTGGCCTTTCATCCCTTGAGCCTCCATCATGGACACGCAACAATCCTTTCAAACCTCCCTCATCCCCCTTGCCTTGCTGAAGTTGGAGTGGCTGTGGCCTTCCAGCAGAGGACAGCAAAAGCACAGAGTCATTTTGTTCAGGATAGTAAAGCCCTTTGTGGATCGGAAAGGCTGATCACTACTATGAGAAATTCTCAAGGTAGAAAACCCCTGTGGCTAGACTTCCTGTCAACCAGCGTGTGGATTGTAGTTGCTGAGGTGTGTTACCCACTCCATGGCGCAAGAAAATGGCTAGCTAACATCTTTAAAGTGGCTTGGCTTGAATGCTGTTACCTTATTTGCCAAGTCTGTAGTCTGTTAAGTGGGGAAATTGTTGTCAGGAAATGGCCTTCCACGCAGTTCACTGAGCAAACATGTGCCATCCCCACTGGCAGCCCAGCTCTCGCCAAGTCCCTTATTAACTCAAAAAGTTGGTTGGTGTGTTGTGGACTCTGGGATGGAATTTCTAAAATGAACATCATTAAAGGGGTATTTGTGTGCAGAGTTACATATTTGGCCCTCTGTGTCCACAGCAAATAGTTCCTCAGATTCAGTCAATTTAGCATTGAAAACATTCAATGTAGACAACCTTTTTCTTTGCTACTTAATATTTTCTAAACAATGCAGCATAGCAACTACTTCCGTGGCATTGGATGAAGACATGTTTCAAATATGTTAGGAGATGTATGTCAGTTCTGCAAAAGTCATTATACTAGTTTGTATGAGAAACTTGAACATTTGGGGATTTTGGTACCTGTTGAGTGTTCCTAGAACCAACCTTAGAGCTTACTAAGGGACATCTTTGATGTGATGAGATCAGTTATAAAAGAACTAGCAAACTGGTGAAATTTTTGAGCCACTGCCTAGAAACTGAAAAGTGTGGGAGCAGTTAAAACAAAACACTTTTAAAGAAGCCGATTTGGGGCAGGGGGAGGATGACAGAATCCCACTATATCGCCTTGGCTGGTCCAGAGCTGGCTTTGTAGACCAGGCTGGTCTTGAACTCACAGAAATCCACATGCTTCAGCATCCCAGAAGCTTGAATTAGAGGTGTGCCACCACACCTGGCTACATATAATCTTAAATGTGTTGAAATACATTGTTTTTCTCCAGTACTTGTAAATTTCTTATTTTCTGACATTGGATTTCATGAGCTGTGTGAGAATTCCAAAATTCATGAGACCTCTCTGTCAACTGTTCCACTAATGTATGTTTTATGTACTTTTTTAAAGGGCATTTAAGGTTTAACGCTTCTTTGACCTTACACAGTTCATCAGTTTTATACCTGTCTATGTCCTAGTCATCCAGGGGTTACCATAAGCAATTGTCTTTGTGGGGAAAGTGACTGGACATGTTGGCTAACCCTGGTATTGGAGAACAAGGGCAGCTTTTGGTAACAGCTTTAACCAGGAAGTTGTACAAAACTCCCAGCTACGTGTGTGCAGCTGTTTTTCCTTCTGGTGATTCGTTTCTTTATGGGAAGTTTGTTTGTTTGTTTAATTAAAAGACAATGCTACAAGGACTAGAGAGATGGCTCAGCAGTTAAGAGCACTGAATGCTCTTCTGGAGGTTCAGTTCCCAGCAACCACATGGCAGCTCACAACTGTCTGTGACTCCAATATCTGACACCCTCACACACACGTACATTCAGGCAAAACACCAATCCAGATACAGGAAAAATAAATTATAAAAGGACAATATTACTTTGATTCCTCAAATGTTTGAAAGTTCTGTTACCTAAGCTGAGATGCCAGCCTTACTACCCGCCACCATCTCCAGTCATGGCTACTTGCTACTGACTTGTCCTTTTCTTCTAAGTTTGCTAATTGCCTTCAGTTTTTGTCTCCTGGAGCAATAAGAAAGGGATACTACTAAAAGACACCCAAGTTGTGTAAATCACTAAGGTAAAAATACAGATTATTTTTGTGTATCTTGAGAAAGTTTGAATCTAGGCTCTTTTTCCTTTGTTTTACAGTTTGATGGTATGAAATAATAAGTCAAGTTTATTTGTGTGGCTGAGTTATTCTACATCTGTTCACAAAGCAATAATCTGGATTCTCCCAGCACTGAGATCATTTTGTCCATGAATTCTGGAAAAGATTTATGTTGTAATTGTACTCTTTTCAGGTCCTGCCATTTCATTCCATTTCGGTAATTCTTCTCTCTAAAGAGCTGCATGACTCTAAAACAGTAATACAGGCTTTTGGAGCTGTGGCTGCTAGGCTGTCGTTTGGTATCACACCTCATAAATGAAATAAAGGAAATATTGGGAGCTGGAGAGACAGCTCCCTGCTACCCAGCCGCCGCATTTGTCTCCTAAGTGAACATTTGCTGTGCTGCAGCGTCAGCTTCACACAGGCCAGCCTGGGCCCTCCTCCGCCATTTACTGGCAGTGAGGGTAGAGACCATTTTTTAAGAGTGTGATTGCCTTGAGTCCGTTATGTGTGTGATGTAACAATAACCACATACTTTTATAAACTCAAGTTTCCCTTGGTAGAGCATTCCGTGTTCTGTCACATGTAACATGGTTTTCCTTTTCCTTTCCAATAGGTGAAATGAGGAATGACTTATACGTCACCGTAGAGAGGGGAGAATTTGAGAAAGGAGGGAAGAGTGTGGCCAGAAATGTGGAAGTTACAATGTTCGTTATAGATAGTAATGGGCAGCCCTTAAAGGTACGTCAGCTCGGATGGCCCTGGAGCGATCGTTAACACCTACTGTGACTTCATCTCTAACTGTGGTCATTGCTTTAATTTCACAGGTGCAGTGTTTTGTTTTGTTTTTTTCTTAAGGTAGTATAGTTTTCTTTTCTTTCTTAAAAGTTCATTATGTCCTTCACAGAAAAGAAAATTAGAAAACCAAAAGGTGTTTACATTTTGCTCACTTTGTATATCAGTAATTTTATTACAGCAGTCATTTTTGAGTACATTCCTTTACTAGCATTTAATTGTTTCTTACTTTTTTGCTCTGGAAATTGGGGAAAAATAATACCAAACAAAAACTACCATGTTTAGTTCCATAATTCTTTTAGCCAAAGTGTTTGGTACTACTTGTTGCTTGGGGAAGCACTAGCAGACCCTCTCTGGGAAGAAGTGTTTTCTGTGAACACAGCTTGGTGGAGAAGAATGCTTGTTCTTCTAAAGCAGCGATTCTCAACCTTCCTATTGCTGCGACCCTTTAATACAGTTCCTCATGTTGTGGTGAACCTCAACCATAAAATTATTTTCATTGCTGCCCCATCACTGTAAATTTGCTGTTGTTAGGAATTGTAATGCGAATATCTGTGTTTTCTGATGGTCTTAAGCCATCCCTGTGAAAGGGTCATGCGACCCACGGGTTGAGAACCACTGTTGTAAAGGTTACAGTGGGCCTTTCACAATCACGTCCTGGATCTTGGAAGAGGCTCCAGCTTCAGTGGCCTGGGGTTTTGGTTTCCCAGAGTTGAATTCTCACATCACATCCTAAGGCACAGTAGGCCTTAGAGAGCAGCCTCAGAATCAAACCCATCTCCTCACTAGGCAGAGCAAATACGGAGACAACACAGCAAAGCCAGGCAATGTCCGCTGGCATGCTGTCAGGAGCAGCTGCTTGGCCTGCTGCAGAAGTGTCCAAAGGAGGTTGACTTTCCCCATGTCCATTTTTCAGGATTTCATCTCCTTTGGCTCTGGGGAGCCACTGGCTAGTGAGTACCGCTCCTTTGTGCTTTATCACAACAACAGTCCCAGGTGGTCGGAGCTGCTGAAACTTCCCATTCCCGTGGATAAATTCAGGGGCTCGCACATCCGCTTTGAGTTCCGGCATTGTTCCAGTAAGTGTGGGGGTGCACGCAGCAGCTTTGTGGGCTTGGGGTGGGTCCTGTGCTTTCTGTGGGCAGATCTACAGAATGGGTGACAAAGGAGGCAAGAAGGAAAGCAGTGGGAGGCCTGGAAGTGAGGGGGCTGACTCCTGGAGAAGCCGTAAGAATAGAAAGGAAAGAAGAACATTAAAAACCACAGGAAGCCCGGGATTCTCTGTTCTTTCACTGTTCTCAGTAAAACTCCAGCTCATCACTTACATCCTAGCAAATCTGAACAGAAGGGGGAGACACAGCATTAGGAAAACTACACTTGTCTGGTGGGCTTGGGCCAGCCTGACCTTTTGGTGTTAGCAGGAAGCTGACTCAGCTCCAACAAGTCCCCTTGGAGTTTTCTGGGCATATGAAACATCTAGGAAAGTGTTGGTGAAGCTCAGTTTGTGTTGATCTGTGTGTGACTGCGTCACCGAGCAGTTCTGGATGGTGCTGAAATGAGCCAAAATAATCCTCTCATTTTACAGATTTAAATGGCTCAAGACACAAATAAGCTTGTCTTTGTGGGCATTATTGGTCGTATCTTCAGTTTTATTTCAGTCTTTTTGCTCTCTTCACTACCTTTTCAAGCTGGTTTTCTGCCTCCTCCAGCTTGAGGCCAGGGGTCTTCTGACACTTGCTATGCCTCCGAAATGTAGGCACTACCAGAGGAGAAATAGTTAAGGCTTTAGAGAACTTTGGGAACAGAGTGTCAGGCATGAGGCACAAGAGAATGACATCATTAGGGCTGTAGTACACACGTCACCTGAGCTTCAGGCAGAGGGACTATGCTGTGCTCAGAGCTGTGGCATTTTTTTCAGAATTGGCCAAGCAGTCCTTATAAACTGGCTGTTAGGGTGTTTAAGAATGTAGGAGAGCTGGGTGGTGGTGGCACACACCTTTGATCCCAGCAATCAAGAGGCAGAGGCAGGCGGATCTTTGTGAGGTTGAGGCCAGCCTACAGAGCTAGTTCCAGGACAGCCGGGGCCACACAGAAGTACCCTGTCTTGAAAAACCACAAAAACAAAACAATAGAGGGAGCTGAGGAGCTGAGTTCTTACTGCTCTAAATTCCCAGTGGAGTCCCAGGTAAAGGACTTGAGAGAGTATGGACTTGGGGTGGTGCTGTTGTGCATTTCTACCTGCAAGACTTTCTAAGACTTCTTGCTTGGACCTGTCATTTGCTTTGAGTTCCAAAATAAGAAAAAGGATGAGGGAAACAAGGGAAAATGTGAAAAGGAGCATTCACAGAGCATTATATTTCACAGCTTGGGAAGCAGGACAAAGGCTGTATTTAAATGTAATCTGTTGGGTTTCCACCCTTTCAGCCTTGTACTTAAATCATGGTTCAGTTTTGTGTTGCTGTTGTTTTCATTCAGAAGAACTTGCCACAGGAAAAAGAAAACAAAGTAATCCCCATAATCCCACAGAATGCAAATGCTGGAGTCATTTTATTACACAGTTTCCAAATATTCCTGTGTGTGTATATATTCACTAAATACTATGATTTATTCATAAAACATGAGTTATTTAGCCATGAAATTGAAGGCCTACTGTGTGCCAACCACTTCACCTGGTGCTAGATCCACATTCCAGAACACAACAAAGTTTTTCCGCCCATTGGGGGAGGGAGGGCAGACAGCTGAACAATGAATGCAGAAGGCTTTAGTCTCCCCTTATCTGCAGGCTTGCTACCCGTGCTTTCAGTTAGTTCTGATCAAATGTTAAATAGAATATTCCAGAATAAACCACTCCAAAGTTTTAAAGTCCATACCATTCTGAGTAGCTTGGAGAACTCTTAAGAAGCCACACTCTGTCCAACATGAGCTGTAAGTCCTGTCTTTGTCCTGTGTCTCTGTGCTGCCTGTTAGTCCTTAAGCTGCCCCAGTTATCCCAGCAGCTGCTTAGATGCCACAGTGCTTGTGTTCAGTTGACTTGACTTTACTTCCTGACGGGTCCCCAAATGCAAGAATAGCGATGCTGGTGTCTCCTATATGTCAAAAAGAAACAAAAAGGACGTTAGCAGTGCTGAACATCTATGTCTCTGTGCTGAACTGTAAAGCTTACTGTGAGTCCATACACATAGGGAAAACTGATGGTTTATGTGGTTTCATACTGTCGATGGGAGTCTTAAAACACGCTCCCTGCACACTGGGGTGAACTGCCGTGTGCCCAGAAGTGAATGGCGAGTGCAGCCAAGAAGATGGAGGGGCCTAGAAAGGGATGGCACTTTGCTTCTGTTTATGTGGAACAGTCAGGGTAAGCCTGATAAGGAGAGACGGCAAGAAGAAACAAACAGAATTGAAGGGCTGAGCCATGGTGTGTCTGCGGACAGAATATTCCAGGCAAGGAGAACATTAAATGCAGAAGGCATGAGGTTGAAACGTGCTTGGCATTTTCAAAGAATACTAGGAGAGTAGAGAGGTAACAAGGAAACCAGGCCTTACATCGGCTTTTGTGTCGTGGTGAGGCCTGTGGATTTTGTGTGAGAAGAGCCGGTTTAGAGGGATGGCCTGGCGGCTGTGTAGACCATAGGCCACAGATGGACTGTTTGGGAATAGGAATAGTGCTTGGGGGCCGGGGGTGTCTTTGCCGTTCTTGAAATAAATAAGAGATTAAGGTACTCTGCAGCAAGGTGATGGCAATTTGATTTTTTTTTTCTATACATCATTCATGGATTAGGTGTGGAAGAAGGAGAAAAGTCAAAAATGACCCCAGTATTTGGTCCTGAGATTGAAAAATTTGTTTAATCAAGTGGGAAGACCACAGGGACCATCTGTTTGTGGATAGGTGGCAGAAATGAAACTTTCTGTCTTAGAAATTTGGCATCCATTACACATCCAAGGTATTGACAGGAAGCAAGTGAGGTCTGGGTTGAAAAGTTACATGTAGATTAGTGCTCTGCTATGAATAGTCAATAAGCAGTACTTGGGGCAGGGCGAGCTGTGGCCTGTAACATTTGATGATTTCTTTGGCATTATCATCCCAGCTTTTGAGCACTGACATGACATTATGGAATGCTGAATTAGGCGAAGATAACTGTTTCCAGCTGCTGTGACCCAGCGCAGTGCAGCTGCAGCGCAACGTCTCTTTTGATATTTTTAAAGCTGAGACACTGAGTGAGATCCCTGAGTAGTTTGATAGCAGACGGAAGTCCAAGATTGGATCTCTAGGGCACATTTACAGCTGGGAAAATGAAGAGCTGTCCAGTCAGAAGGTTGAAGGACAGTCAAGGAGGCCACGGGGCTAAAGGAAAGCGTTCTTCTCGGAGACAAGTGGTCAGATGACATGTTAGCTGCTAGTGACACAGAAGATGAAGACGGAGAACTTACTCTTTTAATTTAACATCCTAGAAATCACTGGCCCTGGCTAGCAGCATGGGCACCTTTGTGGTAACGAATGTGAGTTTAAGACTGAGAAGGAGGAAATGAAAGGAAAGCAATGAGTACAGACAAATCCTTTGAGAACTTCCGCAATAGAGCCATGTCTGTGGGTGGAACAAGTCAGTATTGTCAAGATGGCAGGTCTTCCTAACTGAATCTAGGTCTAGTGTGGTCCTGGTGAAAAAAAGCCTCAGCATTTCAGCATTTTTTTTTAATGAATAAAACAAAATGAACCAGATTCTAAAGTTGATATGAGAAAGCAAAAGATCCAGCATAGCCCGTATAAAATGGAAGGTAGACAAAGTTGGAGGGGCCACATTGCATGACTTTAAGGCTTAGCATGAAATGCGTTGGGGTTGGAGTATAGCTCAGTTGGTAGAGCGCTTGCCTGGCATGCACAAAGCCCCAAGTTCAGTACCTGGTGCTGTATAGAGGTGGCCAAAGCCCCTAATTCCAGCACTCGGAAAGTAGAGATGCTAGGATAAGAAGTTCAAGGTAATACTGGACTACACAGTGAGTTCCAGATACGTTGCAATAATCAACACAATATGCTGTAATGAAGGACTAGACAAAATATCAGTGGGACAGACTGGAGAGCCCAGATATAGATGGATTCAAGAAAGCCGAAAGATCTTTGACAAAGAAGCAAAGTCAAGTCCATGGAGGTATAGAGGCTTTTCAACAAACGGTACTGGCCCATCTGGTCATCCTCAGGTAAAATACAAATCTAGCTACAGACCTAATATTAAAAAACAAAAAGTCAGCTCAAATTGAATTATGGTATAACCGGAAAACATGAAACTTCAAAACTCCTAGAAAGATAGCAAAGAAGAAAATTTAGATGATCGTGGGTTTAGCAGTGACTTTTTATAGACAGAAACAGATCTGTGAAAGGAAAAACTGATAAGCTGGAGGTCATCAAATTAAAATATTTTTCTGAACGCCTTAGGAACTGGGCCTGCAGGTACAGAAACAGGATCTCCTAGCTCTTCCTGGTGGCCCCTTTCACCCATCACTTCTAGCCCATCTCCAGGGCTTTGTGGATCCACCCACCCGCAAAACCTCTCTACCAGAATTCAAAGCAGGCACGCTAGGCTGGGACACAGTCGAGCATTGTTTCAGCCTTTTCCAAAGCTTGTTTCTTCAGTTGCTGGTGGTGTACAAAGAAATCCCCACTGGACAGTGCGCAGAGAACGAGAGACGTTAGAGCCCTGAATGGGATGCCTTTATCGCAGTCCTTCCCATTTCCAGCTCAGAGATCTGTTGGAAAGAGGAGGAAGAAAGATTGTAAGAGCTGGAGGTGCTGGGTGACAGCGTCTTCCTGTGAGCACACAGGGTCTGTGACAGTGTGAAGAAGAAGTACACAAGTTCAAATCAAGCACAATCCCAGGTTGGAGGAAAGCAAGTGTATGCAAAGTCCCACCCCTAGTCTAGAAACCATTTGCAATGGATGCCTTCTGGGAAAGGAGAAAATCGGTTTTCTCCAGTGGAGGATCACTGGGTATATGGACCACACTCTAAGTCAGGCCTCATGCCTGGGAGTCATTGGACTTCCATTCCTTTCTTCTCCTCCTCTTCCTTTTTCTGTTTTGGGGTGTGTGTATCTCTCTGTGTGTATATATGTATGTGTATGATAGTCTCTATTTCTGTTTGAATGTTTTGATTTTTAATTTTAGGATTTTTCCTCCTGTTTTGTGGGGGGTTTGAGAAAAAGAAAGAACATAAAACTGGATGGGTGGGGAGGCAGCGAGCATCAGAGATGAGTTGGGAGAATATGATCAAAATATATGTTTAGAAAAATTTAAGTATAGTTTTCTTGCTGCAAAAGACATGATCAGAATAGTAAAAAGATAAGTCACAGATGAGGAGAAACTCTTTGATAAAGACGTACATGATTAAGGACTGTGATCCAAAATATACAGAGACACAGTGAGACCTAAGCTGAGGTGTTCGGTGTATTTCTACCTTCTCTCTGGACTTGAAGTTAATCAACTAGAGAGGAAGTCTTCTGAAGCACACATCCAGTGAGTTCACACATCCAGGGCCTGTTAGGGGCCCACACCCCCTCTGTCAAGTGCTGGGAACAGTTGTTAGGGAAGAGTACTCAGCTCAGGCCCTTGAATGACTTTTGAGATTCCCTGGACCTCTTGCTTCTCAGCTTGGGTCTCACTCTGCCACGGAGCTGAGCTGAGCTGAGCTGAGCTGAGCTGAGCTTGGGATGATTCACTGCTATGCTTATACTGGGAGAGCACCCTGAAGTTATCATAGGCCCCTGCTTACTTTCACCTAGCCACACATCAGGGGAGAATACAGCTGAACTAAAAGCTTTTCAACACCTGCCCTGTTTGGGGAGAAAAGCAGCCTTCCAGAAGGGACTGGGGAGGCTTGAGAGAGCTATAACAAGCTATAGCAATCTATAGCAAGCTGCTTAGCATCCTTGATCTCTGTTTGCTCTCCTATAAATAGCGGCTAGAATCCTCGGCATCAAGGCTGTACTGAATTAGGTGTCTTGTATCTGAAAAGTCCTCACCTCATCTCCGGCTTGCAGAGCAATACAGTCAGCTCACATGGGAGAAGGCAGCTTACAATTTGTAGTTTCTTCCCAGGAACCTTGACAGAAGCTAAGAAAACAGCTTTATGAGGTCACTGTCCTCACACATGGACGAGGGCAGAGCTTGAAAGTTCTTTAGAGGCCCACTGACAAAGCGTTGCTCCTCACATCCTTTCTTTCCTTCGTTAAACAGTATTTGTTGAGATCCTACTATGTCCCAGATTCTGTCTGAGAAAAATAAACAGGTGAGAATTCTGCCCCTGGTGGAGCTTAGTGCTGAGGTGCTGGGGAAGATGTGGGGAGAGAATGACAGTCAAGACAACTTTTAGAATGTCATGTCAGGTACTGAGTCCTGTGAAAACGGCTGGGCAGGGAGGGTGACATGAGTGTAGGGTACAGGTAGGTATCCACCGCAAAAGTGCTCTCCAGTGTGTGAGGGCCTGGCACGCGCAGGCACGGACAGCAGTGGTCGCTGTTCACGCTTCCTGTGTGAGATGTCAGTTGGATAAACATATTCTGCAGTAAGCAGTCTGTTACTCTCCTTTACAGCAAAGGAGAAAGGAGAGAAGAAGCTGTTCGGGTTCTCTTTTGTACCCCTGATGCAAGAAGACGGGAGGACCCTTCCGGACGGCACACACGAGCTCATTGTGCATAAGGTACCAGCGACCCTGGTGACAACAGGCGGGGGCAGGGCACGTACTTACTGCACACCTTCCAGCTTTAGGAGAGTGAAGACAGAGACTGAAAAAGAGCTCCCTCAACCATGGCTGTAGACCAGGCTTGGTGCTGTGTTCCAGCACGCAGAAGATAGTGGTAGGCAGGTTTCTGAGTTCAAGGTCAGCCTGGTCTACGTAGTGAAAACCTGTATATACATATATGTGTGTATTTATATATATATGTTGTAAACAAGGACACTGTCTTTCTTTATTACTTCTATGTTCTCTGTCTTCCATGTCACATTAAATAGACACACACACATATCTATACATACATATGTATGTGTGTATGTGTTGTGTGTCAAATCTATTCCTTACATGTTAGGCACATGTAAAGCCAGTGCTGAACCGCTGAGCTCCCCAACCTTGAAACATATTTTTAAATGACTTACTATTCATCTTAATTTAAGAATAAAATTATTTGCATGAATTGAGGATATATAAAGTTTTATAAAATTTACATATCAGTAGTACTTACAAAACTATTTTGAAGGTTTATTTCATCCTCAGAGGAAAGTTTACATTAGTTTTTACATTTTGAGCTATGCTCTGTTATTACAACTTTTGCTTTTATTTTAAGTTGCGATTCTCAAAAAAATCATTGGAATGAAGTATGCTGTATAGGCATTAACATGAAAATTCAGAAAGTAGGAACTTCACAGAACTTATCTGAGAATACTCTCAAAATGAAACACAGAATAAAATGTACTGTTTAAATATGTGTGCAGTTTTCTTAAAAATACTCCTGTGGTGAAGGCCCACCATCCCCCGGCCCCAGACTTCTTTCTGCTTGCTAGAGAATACAGAAGCCATCTGACAGGAGCTTCGCTAGCTTCCTGTGCCCTCTCCCCACCACCTGAACCGTGGTCTGCATTCCTCCCTTCCCTTCTGCCTCCTGTCTCAGCATACAGGGAGATGCCTTCTCTGCAAAGCCAGTTCTGCCCTCAGCACCCAGGACCTGTGTCCTCTCTCCCTCCTGCATCTGAGACTGTTTCCTGTTCTAGTACATTCACCTAGGATGTAAACACACCACAGCATTTTTCTCCTTTCTTTAAAAGGCACAATTTTCCTCTTCCCTTCCATTTCACCTAAAAATGGTCTTCACTCACTGCCTCCCCAGTCTCATCAGTGGCTCAAGATATCACCATTCACACGAACTCCCAGGGGCTACAGACCCTCGGGCAAAGAATTCTCTTTTCACTGTACCGGTGAGCTGCACATTTGGAAAGGGTCTTTCTGAGTTACCTTAGGTTGGCCTCAAAAAGTAGTCTTCTTGCCAGTGCCTCTCCAGTTGCAGATAGCACAGTCATGTTCAGCTCTGCCCAGCAACTGAGGGCTTCTGACGTAAGATACCTGGGCGTTTTCGTGTTGAAAGATCCCACGGTCCAGGAATACTACGGTGCATGTACTTGTCTCTTTGAGTAGTTGTTTTAGCATCACAGAGAGCTGTAATACACACATACACTGTCCACCGAGGCTTCTCATATTAACAGGAAGTCCATCTAGCAATAAAATACTGTTAACAGAGAGGTTTTGTCTTGTTTGAGCTTCACAGGAAACTTGCCACTAATGTCATTTGGCTGTTCCTTGCTCTGCTCCAGACCCCACGTGGCATTGAGTTGCCCGCCTCTTGCTCTGCTCTGAATTTGTATCTTCCCTCCCTTGCCTGCTTGGTAACCCTCTTATGACTGAGCTTACATATCCCTTCCCAATAACTACCTTCCCTGTCCCTGCAGAGCTAGTATCCAGTGGTCTTCATCACAGCTTTGACAGCAGTCTTGACATGGGCACAGGGTCTGGTGTGTGAGGCCTTCAACATGGAGCCTGGTTGTGTTTTTAATGCTGAATTGAAGTATGGGAAAATTAAATAGGTGTATGTTAGTGGTATTAGCAGGGACTGTTCCTGTTGAAAAAGTCCCCACAAGTACATATTTTGTCACTAAACTTATTTAGGTATGTTTTTTCATTAGCTTTTATTTATAGAATTTACAATCTGAAGAATTTATAGAATTTCAAGTTGACTCTCTCACGTTCCATAGTTTCAATTCAATTTTCTACATTCCTAAAATGTAAACCCTTAATCTGATTAATAAACTGGGAATTCATTGGCATAATTTTCTCTGAGTAATTATACCACAAATTTTGAATATGTACAGATACTGCCATATGGGAAGACTATCAGGACAGACTACTGTGGTTCTCAGTCACATATCTTAGGCTGTGGTCAGCAGAAAGCCCAGCACATAGTGCCCTGTTTACAACAGCAACTGATTTTCAACGACTGTAAACAAGAAATACAGCCTCAAGAATAGAGGCCACCTGTGCTTTTTCAGATACTTCTGTGAGAGTGCCAAGGAACGCATCCCTCTCACGTCCTGACTTCAGACTCAAATGTGGTCAAAAACTAATTCTTTTCTCTAACTTATACTAAACTAACATGTGTTAAGATGACTTGTGTGGATTCCAGGCTGTTAAAGCAAACTGTCCTTTACTTTGCCAGCAACATGCTCTTATTCCCCCAGTCCCAAATCAGGAAGCTTTGCTTCTCTGGAAGAGCAGCTGAGTGAATTCTCCGCTAACAGATATACCCTCAGCTGTCCGTCAGAACATGGTAACAGATCAGCTCTGTCTGTGTGTCCTACAGCAGCACACATGTTCTCTAATGAGGATAGCGTTTCTTATTCTTGCATCCATGCTGTCTTCTTCCATTCCTACCTGGGGTTACATGATGAAGACATTACTTCAGCCAGAGCCCAGAGTAGGTGATGTCTGGGTATTTCCCAGAATGCAAACATCCACACAGTTCTACGTTGTATAGTTGAGGGAACAGCTACTTTACCGTAATTACAAGCTAACCTCCTGACTCCTCTGTGCTACTCATATTTGCAGCCACAGGAACACCCAGCTCTGACCCTGGTGTATTTAGTTCAGAAGTCAGCAGTGCTGAGCCCACGTTACAGTCTCACCTGCTCTGGTTAGACAGCTCTCTCGCAGTAGCGGCTCTTCTGCTACCTGGTGGAGCAACTTCTGAGCATTGCGTGCATTCCAGAAGGGAGCTGTTGCTCCTGCTCTCTAAACAGTGAGCTCTGGACTCTATCTCCTAGTAGCAGAGTGTATAGGGCTAAAAATCAGTAAAAGATATGTGATAAGAATTTCTTTGTATTTCATTAAATTTCTACCAAGAGTTGAATGCTTTTATTGTTTGATAGGCAAAATCTGCTGTCTCTGTCTGTCTGTCTCTCTCTCTCTATTCTTGAAAGAATATTTTAAAATATCTCTTGTGCTCACTGTGTTGTTCCTACTGATGGTTATGTTTTATACTTGAGCATGGTACAGTTAGACAATTTAGCTACAGGGAGCGATTGAGGCATCATGTCTCATACTTTGAATGCTAAGGTTTTAGTGCCCTGGGATGGTAGGCAGATAAAGCCAAGCAGGATTGGTGGAAGTAAGCTGGCTGTTATGGCTGGCCCACAAGTAGAGTCTCCTTGGCACCCTGCAGAGCCAGGGCACAGCCATCTGTCCTCAAGAGTGGCCAGTGCCATAAGAATAGGGGAGCTAAGCAGCAGTCCCCAGGTGCTGACAGAATAACCTGAGCGCTAACTAGGGAAGGGGGCTGTGTTAAGAGGGGTTCTATATTTCCTGGGAAGAGGCCTGGGAACAGCTGGAGTGAACGTCAGCGCTGGGTTTGGTGTTTGTCACGTAGAAGATTATATATCTGCACAAAGGACACAGCAGGCTGGAGCTGGGAGGCCAGATCATGTGCCTAACTCCGGAGCCCAGGTGTGCTTGAAGAGTGGGATGAGTGGGGAGGCAGATATGCAAGAGCCCAGAACATTCTCTTACCTAAACAGTTTTCTAAAGAAAATATTTGAAGTAGTTTATAATGTTTCCTTTAAACTCTGCATATTTTCTCGAGTCTTTATTCTCTGTAAAGTATCTTGAGGAAACAAAAGAATCCATTTGGAATTGCACGGGCAGAAGAGAATGGTGAACTGTTTATTGACACCAGTGCTTGTGTTTCAGAACAGCGTTGCTGGCAAGAACATCCTGTAACATCTCCCTGTTTCTCAACTCACTGGAGAGGTCTTTCTTAAGGACTTATTTTTTAAAAAATGTTTGTGCATCACACAAAATGGTGTCAAGTACCAGAGGGATTCTGTGGTTACCAAGACACTAACAAAATTAGACATATTTGAACAGATATAGAGTGTACTTCATATGGGTATCAATTAAACACATTTTAAGTATTTACGCATACTGGTACCTGCGGAAGCAAGAAGAGCACGTCTGATCCCCTGGAGCTGGAGGTGGAGTGGTTGTGAAACACCTGATACAGTGCTGGGAACACAGCTTGGCTTCTCTCAAAGAGTGGAAAGTGCTCATAAGTACTGAGCATCTTTCCGGCCCCCAGTGTTTTAGATTTATTTATGTGTGTGTGATGTGGAGACACACATCAGCCATGGTACACTCATTGGGGGATACACACAAGAAGACATCCTTGCCCTGTACCTTGTTGGAGGCTGGTTCTCTCCTGTTATTGTCATTGCACTGCATACTCCAGGCCAGCAGGGCTGTGAGCTTCTAGAGAATTCTTCTGTTTCTTTTGCCGTCTCACTATAGGAGTGCTGCGATTATAAACACACACCATATTTTCAGCTTTGACATGGGCTGTGGGGGATCCAATTTCACATCTTCAGGCTTGTGGAGCAAGTGCTTTTACATGCTGAGCTGTCTTCCAAGGAGAGTTTGAATTTTATACCCCAAATAAGCTAAGTTGTGCCAGTTCTATATGTTTTACAATAGTTCCACAATATTTAAAATCACCATTGTCACTACAAAAGTAATATGCAAATCAGATAAGACAAAAAAAAACCATCATAATGTTCTGTCACTGTCTGGCAGCCTCTTAGCATGTATCTGTTTAGATGTTTTGCTGTAATAGTAATAGGTGATATTTATTTTAAGTCTGCTTTTGTGGTTAAAGATTTTTTTCAATCACAAATTATTTTTTATTATTTTCATTTTGAGAAATGCACATTGATTTTTTTTTTCTAGTTCCATCTATTTTCCTGCAAATTTCATGATGTTACTTTCTAACAGCTGAATAATACTCCACTGTGTACATTTTCATTATCCAATTTTCTGTTGAGGGACATCTAGCTTGTTTCCAGTTTCTGACTATTATGAGCAGAGGAGCAATGAAAATGGTTGAGCAAGTGTCCCTCTGGTAGGATGAAGCATCCTTTGGATATATGCCCAAGAGTGGTGTAGGTGGATCTTGAGGTAGATAGATTCCCATCTTTCTGAGGAACCACCACACTGATTTGCATAGGGGCTGTACTAGTTTCACTCACATCGGCAATGGCAGAGTGTTCTCCTTGCTCCAAATGCTTACCAGCGTAGAGAGTTGCTCAGTTTCTGTGACTTTGCAAGCTTTCTGTTGTCTCTGTTGTTGTGAAGTCCAGCATTGATCTGCACTGGTCAGTAGTACCCACTGAGTTAGTTCAAGTTTTTTTGTATCTGCTAAGACTTGCTTTCTCTCTTAAGTATGTGGTCAGTTTTGGAGAAAGTTCCATCAGGTGCAGAGGGGAAGGTATGTTCTTTTATGTTTAGGTGAAATGTTCTGTAAGTATCTTTCAGGCCCATTGGTTTATGAGGTCTGTTAGCTCTGTCATTTCTCTGGTTTTGTCTAGATGACCTTTCTCTTGCTGATAGTGGAATACTGAAGTCTCCCACTGTCGGTGTGTGAGAGTCAGGATGTGATTTAAGCTGTAGTAGTGTTTCTTTTACATCCTGGGTGCCCTTGTGTTTGGGGCCTAGATGTTAAGAACTAAAATGCCATCTTGGTGGATTTTTTTTCCTTGATGATTATGTACTGTCCTTGCCCATCTCTGTTGATAAGGTTTGTTTTGAAGTCTACTTTGTTAGATATTAAAATAGTTACACCAGCTTGTTTCTTAGGTCCATTTTCTTGGAATATCTTTTTAAAACACTGAGAAATGTCTATCTATGATATTGAAGTGTGCTTCTTGGATGCAGCAAAAGGATGGCTTTTGTTTTTGCATCCATTATTGGGGAATTGAGACCATTGATACTGAAAGATATCAATGACCAGTGATTATTTGATTCTTATTATTTTGTTGTTGGTGGTAATGGTGGTGGTGGTGATGGGGTGTGGATGGATGGGTATGTGTATATGCGCATGAGTTTTTCTTCTTTTGATTTTACTGGTTTTGGATTACTTATTTCCTATGTTTTCATGGTTGTAGTTAACCTTCCTAGATTGGAGTTTTTCTTCAAGCATCATCTCTGTATGGCTGGATTTGTAGATAAATATTTCTTTTTTTTTTTGCATTTTTCTTTTTTTATGATTAATTTTATTTTTTTCTTTATTGATTACACTTTATTCACTTTGTATCCCCCTGTAGTTCTCTCCCTCCTCATGTCCCAATCCCTCCCTTCCTTTACCCTCTGCATGCATGTCCCTCCCCAAGTCCACTGATAGGGGAGGACTTCTTTTCCTTCCTTCTGATCCTAGTCAATTAGGTCTCATCAGGAGTGGCTGTGTTGTCTTCTTCTGTGGCCTGGTAATGCTGCTTCCCCCTCAGGGGGAGGTAGTTAAAGAGCAGGCCAATCAGTTCATGTCAGAGACAGTCCCTGTTCCTATCACAATGGAACCCACTTGGATACTGAACTGCCATGGGCTACATTTGTGCAGGGGTCTTAGGTTATCTCCATGCATAGTCCTTGACTGGAATATCAGTCTCAGGAAAGACCCCTGTGCTCAGATTTTTTGGTTCTGTTGCTCTCCTTGTGGAGTTCCTGTCCTCTCTAGATCTTACTGTTTCCCACTTCTTTCCTAAAATTTCCTGCACTCTGCCCAAAGTTTGCCCATAAGTCTCAGCATCTACATTGATAGTCTGCAGGGCAGAGCTTTTCAGAGGTCCTCTGTGTCAGGCTCCTGACTTGTTCCCTCTTTTCTCCTTCTTCTGATGTCCAGCCTCTTTGCCTTTCTGGATAGGAATTGAGCATTTTAGCAAGAGTCCTCTCTCTTGATTAGTTTTTTTAGGTGTACAGATTTTAGTAGGTTTATCCTATATTATATGTCTATATGAGTGAGTATATACCGTGTGCATCTTTTTGCTTCTGGGATAGCTCACTCAGGATGACCCTAAGATTTCACCTTACACCCATCAGAATGGCTAAGATCAAAAACTCAAGAGACAACACATGCTGGAGAGGTTGTGGAGAAAGGGGAACCCTCCTGCACTGCTGGTGGGAATGTAAACTTGTACAACCACTCTGGAAAGCAATCTGGAGCTTTCTCAGGCAACTAGGAATAGCGCTTCCTCAAGATCCAGCTATACCACACCTAGGCATATATCCAAAAGATTCTCAAGTACACAATAAGGACATTTGATCAACCATGTTTGTAGCAGCCTTATTTGTAATAGCCAGAAGCTGGAAACAGCCCAGATGCCCCTCAGTGGAGGAATGGATGCACAAATTGTGGTATATCTACACAATGGAATATTACTCAACAATAAAAAACAAGGAAATCATGAAATTTGCAGGTAAATGATGGGATAAATATTTCTTAATTTTGGTTTTATCATGGGGTATCTTATTGTCTCTATCTATATAATAAGGAATTTTGCTGGGTATACTAGTGTGGGCTGGAATCTGTGTTCCCTCAGAGTCTGCAGCGTTCAGGACCTTCTAGATTTTAGAGTCTCCACTGAGAAGTCAGATGTAATTCTAACAGTTCTTCTTTTTATGTTACTTCATCTTTTCCCCTTGCAGATTTAAATAGTTTTTCTTTGTTCTGTACATTTAGTGTTTTAATTCTTATATGCCAAAGGGACTTTATTTTCTTGTTCAATCTATTTGGTATTCTGAATGCTTCTAGTACTTTTATAGGCATCTCCTTCTTTAGGTTAGGAAAATATTCTGTGATTTTGCTGACAATAATTTTTTGGCTTTTGAGCTCCTTTATTCTTATTATTCTTAGATTTACTCTGTTCATAGTGTCCCAGATTGCTTCTGTGTTTTGTGTGAGGAAATTTTTAGATTTAACTTCTTCCTTTAGTGATGGATTTATTTCTTCTATCATATCATCAATACCTGAGATTCTTTTGTGTCTATACTGTTGGTGACATTTGCCTCTGTGATTCCTGTTCCAATTTCCAAAATTTTTATTTCCACCATTCCCTCTGTTTGGGTTTTTCTTCATAGATTCTACTTCCATCTCTAAATCTTGAATAGTTTTATTCATTTCCTTACACTATTTGCATGTGTCTTCCTGGATTTCTTTAAGGGGTTTACTAATTTATTCTTTAAGTAACTCTATCATCTTCATACAGGCTGTTTTTAGGTCTTTTCTTGGACTTCAACTACCTTGTAATATTCAGTGCCTGCTGTGCTAGGGCTTCAGCGGAGATAGACTGTCCTGGCTGTTATTGGTTGTGTTTTGACTCTGACATCCAGGTATTTGGGATTGGGTGGTTATAGGTCTGTGATGGGATCTGGTTTTGTCTCTGCTGGGTGAGTGCTCTGTTCCTTGGCTTCTGCTTCCTCCATGGGTTGCAGGAGAGTGTGGTGGCTGTGTGCTGCCTGGTAGGAAACTTTCTGAGGACCTGTTTCCCTGGAGCAGTCAGCTGGTGTGTTTTCAGGGTATGGCTACAGATGGTGGAGACTAGGATTATGGGATGAGTTGGGGAAAGGAAGGTTTGGGGAGAAGGTCTTTCCTCTATTGGGGATGGGGTCAAAAATAAAAGGAGGACTGCAGCAGGTTTTCTGCTACAGAGCTGTCAGTGAGACTGGGGGACTGCATGAGATCTCATGGAGCAGACGTGCAGGGTCCACAGTCACCCTAACTCTGGCAAGAGTGACCCTTGTGTTAGCAGGAGTGCCTGCTGGGGTTGGGGCTGGGACAAAGCAATGAGCTGGAGAAGGGCAGTTAGAAGCAGAAGTCTGTGGGATCCACAGGAGATAGAAATAGGGGGGCAGAGAAGGCTACCACAGGTGTTCTGCTGCTGCAGCCTTGACTGTCCTGGAACTCCCTCTGTAGACCAGGCTGCCCTCAGACTCACAGAGATCCACCTGCCTCTGCTTCCTGCAGTACTGAGTGCTGGGGTTAAAGGCATGTGCTGCCTCTGCCTGACTAATTCTATTATCTTGACTGGTGGCTTTCAAAGTGACAACAGCTCAACAACTCTCAGATGACATGTTTTAGAAGTGTAAGGCTCTTTTGAAAAGTCTTCTGATGATTGTCAAATGTGTTTTCTTTGACATTTGCAGTGTCTCCTAGACCATGTTAAGGCATATATATATAATCTAAGACTTATAACAAGAGGATGAGGCTTTTGGAAAGGGCAACAGGAATGCTGAGTGGTTCAATGCCCTGAGAGTATTTACACTCGGAGACAGAGCTCAGCTCAACTCAGATTGACCAGCATCCACATTTCCTACTTAATTCTTTTATAATTCTTTTATATATATAATTTTTTTTTGGTGGAGTTTCCTTAAAAGTCAGATTCTGTTTATAATCCTATTCGGAATGTTTTCAGTTCATAATGCTAGAAGAGGAAATTATGTTTAATGATTCTTCTGAGATCTTGCATTCTGTTATTAATATTTTCTTCACAGTGTGAAGAGAACACAAACCTTCAGGATACTACCCGCTACCTCAAGCTTCCGTTTTCCAAGGTCATATTCCTTGGGAACAATAATCAAACAATGAAGGCCACAAAGGAGTCCTTTTGGATAACATCGTTTCTCTGTTCCACAAAACTCACTCAGAATGGTAATGTATGATTCAAGTCTCTTGCCTACGGGCACATGTGAACTGGACGTATTTTGGTAAGCATATTCAGCAAGAATTAAATTATTTACAAATTTTGTACTAGAAAATTTCTTGATCCTTTTGTTTAGGATTTCTAATCAAATGAGAACAGTAATGACCCCATGCATGTGATTTAATGACTTAAGCATTAGCCCAGTGTTGAAAGCCAGCTGTCAACTGACTCCTCAAAGAAACCATTAAAATTCAAGTTGTCCTTAAACGCAGGAAAGGATGAAAAGTGCCTTCATCTTAAATCTCATGTTTTATAGCGCCATAAACAGTGCTAATTGCAGGCTTTAGGATAAAGCGTGTTTTTTTGTTGTGGTTGTTTAATTAGATGGATATTGCTTTTCTGCCATAGCAATGCTTTTTATGTCTCTAATTGTTTAGCAAGTTATGATTAATAAAGCAAGTGCAGCTCCTTGGCAAATTGTTATGAAAACTGAATCTGTAATGAAAGAAGTAAATTAAATATTTTTAAATTTTTCATGGTTGCCATATACAGCTCTGGCTAGCACCCTGCATACTGTATTAATAAATTAGATGCAGTTTGTTGAGGGGAATCATTTCATTTCAAGGCATTGTGTCTCACGCAGCTTCTATACCTAAGCTTTTCCCTCTTTTTTGGTATTATGGAACAGTTTGTAGAAAGAAATAATTGTCTCAGAATGTAGCATCAAAAAAGGCAGCAAAATATAGCACTATGCTATTGACCCCCCTTTTAATTCTCTCACGGTAGCATGGCTGTTGTATTTACATAAGACAAATAGTTGTGTTCAGCTGTTTTAGACTTTATTAATATCCAGTGTTTAATGTTTTAACTGAAATCTGACCTCCACTGAAATAACTCAATGACTATAAATAAAGCATTTACCAACCTCGGGGAGGTGGAGGTTATGAAGATAATAAAATCAGTTGGCTTCTCGGACAACATTTATATTTATTCTACATAAGGTTTTGTGTGTCTATGTAGTTCTTACTATTAATTAAAAGTTCTAGCTAGAATGTTTCAGGGTTGTATTTATTGAATATTATTGCTATCACAATCACCACAGACTTTCTAGCCTAAAGTGACAGAAATGTGCTAGTCTATCCTTCTGCAGTCAGAGAAGTAAAATCTGTTTCATGTCAGTTCTGCTGTGATCTGGCAAAGTCTTTATCTTTTCTAGTTTCTAAAAGCCATCTGCATGACCTGAATTGTGACCTCTTCCTTTGTAGGAAGCTAACAGAGCAACGTCTTCAAATTTCTCTAACCCTGACTCTCTATAATTTCTTGAGGTCCCTTCTGATTACATTTACTTGGAAAACCCAATTTTATCTCCATGTTGTCAGAAATTTAAACATGTTATAAAGTTTCTTTGTTGATTTAAGATAAACATTCCATTTCTAGGAATTAGCAGATAGACATATTTGAGGTTTGTTATCCTGCCTACCACACAGATAATCTTACTGACAAAATTTCACGAATCTGTGATAGTTTTAGGGCTTTAGTGTTAGAATTATAGCCATAAGCTAGGAGAATCCAGGTCCCAAAGACTCAAAACTGCTTCCTTATAAAAGCAAGAGAGTCAGTCACTCTACCCTTCCTAGCTCTTGAAACACACTATTCATTTCTTGGCTCATTCTGAGCTAACTTACATTGACAAGGTTAATCAAAGTCGACAGAGTCATGAAGCATGTAGCAGTGTCCTCTGTGAGTCAGGAGGCCCACAAAATGCTGATCCATCTTCTTGTAGGGTAGAGTCAGTCTGTCTTCCTGAAATTTGCATTTGAGGTGTACATCTCTATGTCAAAGCAAACTGGAATTAAATTACAGTTCCAGGTTGGAATTGAATTGGTATGCATTCATTTTGCTTGACTTGGAAAATACACAAATTACATTTCCACTACAATTAGACATTTAGCAAATGATCTGGTCTCAAGGAGTAGTCTCTCAGAGAAAATCTGCACTCAGGATTCTTGGTATGTCTGCTTCTTCTAGCTGTGTGGAATTCAATGTTGTTCATGGCTCATGCTCCAAATCCAGACCACTCTACAGATATTGCTGGTGGAAAGATCAAGGAGATTCTTTAAGCTTCTTTACAAGAATGGGAGGCTAGGTGTGGTGGTGTGTGACTATAATCCTAGCACTTGGGAGGCTAAAGCAGGAGGATCAAGAGTTCAAAGTCATCCCATCCTAAATAATAGGCAGCCAGCCTAGGTTCCATGAGACCCTGTCTCAAACACACACATATACAGAGAGACAGACAGATACACACACACTTGATAGGTCAAATGCACAATATGCTTAATAAATGCTCCTTGAATAGGATGTAGAACATTAATAATTTCAGTAGTAGAACATTGCTCCTGAATTCCATCCACTATATCTTCAGATGACTGGAACAGGCTGAGGACATTTTTGCCTTAACTCTTAATACTGCATGTTCACAATCCATTACAGCTGTTACAGTTGGCATCTGGGCCCTGATAGCTCTAACGAATTAGACTTGACCACCTATTCTTCATAAGCCACACAAATTAATATTGAAATGGAGGTTTATTTAATGCAGCCATGTTTGGACTAGAAACAAATAAAAGATCTAGTGAGCTCCCAATCATGACTTGAGGTTTAGCTTTAAGTATCGAGCATAGGGTTTACCTAATTGAGTAATATCAGTCAAGGGGTGGTCTTTTCCATCATCATTGTCTCTGCTTCAGTCTCTCTTGAAAGGTGGTGTGACTGGTTGCCAGAACTATGTGAAATCTCTCCCTGAGAGACAACTTTCTCCTCTGGGTGGCACCAAGCTTCCAGCCTTTTCTTTCTCACAGGATGAGACTTGGGGAGAAATTCTAATTTCTTCGGAGCCATTGTTTCAGCAGTCTGGCACCTATAGGGAAGGCCCAACTGTCTCTTTAGAACACCTTCCTGTCTATAAGGCTGATCACATAGGCAGATATAGCTCATCTGCTCTTTAATTCACTGCAGTCCGAACAGGCCTGATTGAGATTCATCAGGAAAGATGGATGCCTGGAATACTCCAGTCAGTTTTCTGCCTCTGTCCGTGAGGTTCCTCACTACTACCTCAGGAATGCTCTTTCCTCTCCACACTCTTCACACTGCTCAGGGCTCTGAGTCCCTCGGTTGCCTCTACTGGAGGGAAGAGCCAGGGCAAGGAATAAAAGCCGGGATGTGGAGGTAGAATGGGAATCAAGGGGGGATATCAGGAGAAAACACTATGGGAGACTTTAAAGGAAAGGATGCTAGGGAAGGATGCCATACTGGAATTTGATGCCAGAAGGAGAGACAAAGCAAGCCACCTCAGAAGCAGGACCTCTGTGAGATGCACTCTGAAATGTCTCATACCGAAAATAAAACTAGTCAGTGCTCAGGGGTTCTGTTATGCTGTGGGATATCTGAGTTAGACATGAATATTAAACAATATGAGGGTTTTTTAATTAAAACATTATAAGTTAATATTTTGAAATCAGCTCCTTAAAAATCTTCATGCTTTCATTCAAAATGGTCTTTCTCTTATCTCTGTTTATTATAGATTAACATTCCTGTTTGGTACAGGTTGGGGACTGAGTGCTCCGTGAGCAGGAGGTTTTGGATTGGCTCATATTTGCATATACGTGGAGTATTTGGAGGATGAAACCCAAGTCTGCACATGAAATTGACTCATGTCTCATGTACACCCTATTTACGTGGCCTGGAAGATAGTTTTATACAATATTTCCATGTGCCAGCAATTCGACTGACCCATTGTGTGAGGACAGACAGGTTTTCTACTTGAAGCCTCATGTCAGTGAGCAGATGGTTCTAGAGTTTAGAGTATCATAGTTTTGGCTTCCATATTAAGAACCTTGACTGGTAATGAAGTCTTCACCCTAAGTCCTTTTCAGATTTTGTCTTGAATATAACTTTGGTAGACCTCACCTCTTTCTGTTTTCTCCGTATATCCCTTCTCATCTTAACTACTTCCTTGGTTTTATAGAGTTTTGAATTTTTGGTTGTTGTCATTGTTTCCTTGTTGGTCTTTCTGTCTCCTAGTAAGCCCCAGTTTGGTTCATGTGGACACCAGGGATTTGAAGTGATTTTTTTGCTCTTCAACTTGGAAAATCCTATCTGGCCCATCTCTTGGCTTCTGAGCACAGAGGCTTGTGCTAACAGGGTCCTCTGCCCAGGCCTTCCCTATCATGGCTGTTCTTACTATCCTTACTGACCCCACATGCTTTCATCCCCTGATCCTTTGGAGACTAAAAAATCTTTGCCCATGATATCAGCTTCCTGAGGCTATCTAAATTCTGCCCAGGAAAGATGAGGCAAAGTTTTTCTCCCAGTTTTTAAGTGGCCTATTGAACTCTGAATCCACCTGTCAGTTTCAGAAAAGAACTGGGAGAGAAGGAAAAGAAGCTGTGCTCTTCTTCCCAAACTGTGATAGAAGATGGTCTGGGAGGCCAGACACAGGTACTCTGAAATCCAGAGCCTCACTAGATGGTCTACTAGTACACTGGCCATGTTGTCACGCACGCTGACAATGTGTGGTCCTCAGGTTTGAGTTCTCTCAACAACCAAGAAGACCTCTGTTGGTGGGTTGAACTCGTTGTCAGGCAGAGTGTTCACGTTCAGGTGTCTAAGCGTGAATCAAGCAGGATCCTGCCTCCCAGAAAACACCCGTCTTACGAGAAGGTGGCAGCAAATGTCTGGCAGCTCTCAGTTGGCTGCTTAGCACTGGGGATACAACTGGGCTGTGCTCAGCTCTACGCTCTTGGATTTTACAGTCAAGTTGGGGCATAGAAAACTGCAGGCAAAAGATAAAGTGCATCTGCGAGGTCACTCTCCTGGAGCAGAGAGGCGAGCCCCAGTGTGGGGAAGGCAGAACATTTAGGAAGTCACCTTCCACCAGAACAGTGCGTTCACGAAGCAACTAATCCTCCCTTTTCTATTTGAAAAGGTGACATGCTTGATCTCCTGAAATGGAGAACCCACCCAGACAAGATCACAGGCTGTCTCTCCAAGTTAAAAGAAATTGACGGCTCAGAGATAGTGAAGGTATAATACACTGTCTTACTACCACTTGAGAACTCAAGCGCACAGGGCAGAGGACAGAGTGTGGGTGACTTACTTGTCTTCACTTCTTTAATCTGTAGTTTCTACAAGACACACTGGATACCTTGTTTGGAATATTGGATGAAAATTCCCAAAAATATGGGTCTAAAGTATTTGATTCCTTGGTAAGTTTACCTTTTCTTAATAATATTTAAATAGAAAAATTGTGCCTCTCCATCTTGACTTTAAGGAAGCTGTTTCAGAAATGGCCGCTTGATAATGTAAGAGCTTATTTATTTTTAGCAGACAAAGGAATGATTGTGCTTGGTTTTGTAACCCTCAGTTTTCTTCTTAGGTCCACATAATAAATTTGCTGCAAGATAGCAAGTTCCATCATTTTAAGCCAGTCATGGACACGTACATTGAGAGCCACTTTGCTGGGGCCCTGGCGTACAGGTAAGGCCTTTGTCCTGGAAGTGCCTTAGCGGCTGTGCCCTGCACACTCGCACAAAAGCATGAGCAGCTGTACAGGAAGACATAGTTGTAGGGGACACAGGCAGATGTGGGGCTTGGCCACCAAACCTGTTCCTCCACCCCCCTGCCCACACACACACCTCTGTTCAGTGGCTATAACTTAATTTGGTTAAAAAAAAGAAAAAAAAACCCTCCTGAAACCTGGTGCCTTTCTTCTCATCTCCATTTCACCTGGTATGCTTTGGTCTAAGATGTCAAAGTTCACTGCTAAGAGCCCTATTTTTATACTGAGCTTCTTTATACATGACTTAAAGAAATAAATGTGAATAGAAAGCAACCTTTACCTTCATCCCTGCTCCAAGTCATTTGCTCAGCTGTTAGTATTTTCAGAGTGCCTCCTCAGTGCCTTGCTCAGAGCTCTAACACATAGCCCTGGTCCCTGGCCTCAAGCCAAATAGTCATTGAAGTCTATATCAGGTAGTAGCTGCCTCTTTTCCAACAACTTGCAGTACGTAAGTAAAGCAAAGGGCAATGGGTGATGCCCTACTTCAGCTCTGCCTGCCTCTGGACAGCCTACTTAATAATTGCCCCAATCATGTAGGTATAATTGCCATCACAGTACATATGTATAATTTATAGATATATAATGTGTATATATAAATATGTATAATGTGTATATATGTATAATATGTGTATTATATAATATATAATATAATAAATGTGTATATGTAAATATATATGTACATATGTATAATGTGTGTGTGTATATATATATATGTATACATGTATAATGTGTAGCACATGCCAGGTGCTATACATTGTGCTCTTATATGAAGACTCGGTCCCTGACCAGTGGAATTAGAACTATATAAATGAAAAGCTAAGTGTAAACACAGGGTTTTCTTTGTTTGTTTTTCTTTCTGCCTTAAAAAAAGAGAGGAAGAAAAACTCTTATTGGAACTGTTTCCTAGAAATTAGGAAATAGACAACATTTATTTCAGAGAAACTGTAATCTTAAAAGTTGTGGAGTGGGGTTTATTTTTAGTTTTGTTTCTTAAAATAAAATAAGCCAGCAACAAGAAAGCAACTTTCTTTTCTGGAAATGCTCCTTCAAGGGCATGCTTTGACAGCAAGCCTGTTGTCTCGTGGTGAGAAAGCTGGCGAGCTAAATGCAGGGGTGTGGCTTGGAGTGGAATAGTTTGCCTTCATGCCTCCCTGCCTTTTGCCTGCAGCTAAATATTACCCTTGCAGTGTTCCCAAGATTGGGAAGGAAGGCATCCCAGTGAGCAGTTATCCAAGACTGCTCACCACAGCGCTGCTTCTAGGGTCAGCAGGGCACCTCCAGACTGAGGGCACTCGGTGGGCAGCAGTGTGTTTCCGTCTTCTGTTTCAAAGCAAGTAGTCATGCTGGCCTGTAGGTTCAACAGAGTTATTCTAGAGCAGCCCGGCGGGAGAATGTGTGACACTACGGAGAAAGAAACATCTTCCCGATCCACTCATGTGTTAAGTCTATTGTCATTTAGCTGAGAGTTGGCTGTCCTGAATGTGCACATTCCTCCCTGTGTTTTAGGGATCTCATCAAGGTGCTCAAGTGGTACGTGGACAGGATAACGGAGGCCGAGCGCCAGGAGCACATCCAAGAGGTGCTGAAGGTAATAGCGGGCTGTTGAGCGCAGACACAGACAGAGGCTTACAAACCTGTCGCGTGATGGACAGAGGCTAGTTGGTTCCTCTGCACAGACAGTAATAGGTGATGATACACTACTGACATTCCAATTCAAAGACTTTAATCAGTTTATGGCTGCTCCAGAGCTGATGAAATTTGAAGGGTCTTTGCCAGGCCTGTCCACTGAGATCTGCTGGGACTGAGTCCTTCCTCTAGGCTCCTGTCCCGTGAGATGGCGCCTGGGATGGGCAGGAGAAGCAGGGCATGGGAAGAGAGGGCAGATGTGGCAGTCAGTCAGCCTTGGAAGGTTCTGCCCATGCCACAACCTGACAGAGATGTTCTGAGAACCCTTTGTCATAAGTTTTAAGAAACAAGAGGGTCTCCTCACAGGGATCATAATAAAGAAATGTCAGGCTTTGCTGGGTCTCGTGGTTTAGTAACGCCATGTATCTGCCCCCAATATACTGAGCCACAGTGGTGTTAACATGACCTTCTGACATGTTGAAGAACACAAATTTGCCAACTCCCAAATCCCTTTCTTCCCCTTCCTACCCCTTTCTTCTCTGTCTGTCTCCCTCTGTCTCTGTCTCTGTCTCTCATATGAGATAGGGTCTCATTAAGTAGCCTAGGATAGGCTCCAACTCTTAATCCTCTTGTGTAACTAAAGAATTAGAGATTATTTATTTATAAAGAAATAGAGAATAAAATTATTCTATAAAAATAAAGAATCTTTATTCTTAGGTAAAGAGTAAAGATTTGCAGCAAGAGATATAGTTCAGTAGTATGTGCTTGCTGAGAAAGCTCGAAAGCCTGGGTTTATGCCCAGGAAAGTCACAGAAAAAAATATAAATTCTTGTTTGTTTTCACTGTTTAACTGATTTTAATAATGTGACATAAAGCTCCTAAAATCTATATAATCATTATGTAAAATACATACATGAATACTGCCTTCTTTTAAAAATATGAAATAAATAAGCAAGACGTGAAAATAAGCAAGTTTTCTTTAATTAAATGAAAAAAATTAAAGACAGTTTTTTCTTTTGTTTCATCTGAAGAAGGGAGATTATCAGTTCTTAAAGTGGTTTCGCAGCCTAGCAGTCCCTCACCCATACTGAGACCACTCTTTGTGGTGTCAGCAGGCAACGCGTACCTGAAACAGGCCTTCTCCTTCATCATCAGCTTACTCTCTCGGTGTGCTTGAAGCTAAGATGCTAAGTGGAGAATCAGTCTTGAAAATAGTCATCTCTTCATCAGCTAAATTAGAAAAGAACTATTTTTCGATCAAAAATATTCACTGTTTCTAACTTCAGATATATAAAGAATTTTTAACATGATTTGCTTCTTTGGCATCAAAGAATAGCACATATGAATCAAAAATCTCAGGGTGCCTCAGTTTTTGGATGAATTATTTAAAAGTCTAACAGTGTTCTGTAATCTTTTTATGCTATATCATTGTTACATAAATACTCTCAGAGTCCTTTGAAGCTAACTTTCTAACCCTTTTCTTTCAAGGCACAAGAATACATTTTTAAGTATATAGTTCAGTCGCGAAGGCTGTTTTCTCTTGCCACGGGTGGGCAAAATGAAGAGGAATTCCGCTGCTGCATCCAGGAGCTCCTCATGTCCGTCCGCTTCTTTCTTTCACAAGAGAGCAAAGGTGCCGGAGCTCTGTCCCAGTCACAGGTGATCACCGTTTTCCGTCTCTGCTGAACAGAAGAAAATTCTGCCTGCAGATTGTTGCATTTCACATGTCCACTTGAATAATAGCCTCAGCTTCCTTTATCCGGCTGGTAGCTTCGCTATCACCAAGTTTCGACCCTGAACATCCCTAGGCTCTAAGTGCTGGCCTAACAGAAGCATCTCCATTCCCCAGATCCCACACCAGCATAGAGGCAGCTTGCACCGGCCATGTTTCTACTCACCAGAACATGTAGAGGTGGCTAGACACTGTCACCTCCCAAGGGACTGAATTTCACGAGAGCCGTTCTGGCCCACTATTGCTTTTTCGTCTATCAACTTGAGAATCACTCGTTTGTACTCTGCTGACTTTGTATTGTTGTTTTTATTTTTTTTATTTTACTCTCTGTAATCTTTCCGTGACTGGTCCTCTAAGACCAGTGCCAAGCCAATGCTGCCAGATTCGATTACGGGGAGCAGCCTCACGTGAGTTTGTGTATTTGTGCGTGTGTGCTTGGGATGCACACCTGTGCCGATGCGTGGTTGGCTGCTTTATTCTGAGCCAGGATGTCATGTAAGCCAGTCTGAGCTCTACCTCTCAAGGGCTGTGTGAATTTAGCAGACTCCAACAGAATGATTCTCAAGTTGATGGCTTAAAAGCAATAGGAGGCTGAGGGGAAGGAACCGGGACAGAAAGATGCTAGTGAAGTTCAGTATCTCAGTTGTGGGTGAGAGTGACTAGCCCCCTGTACTGTTCTGGTAAGTGGAAATATGGCAGACATGAGCTAGCAGGCTCTGATTTTCCTCTTTTTGGATTTGTTTTGGAGTCTTTATTATTGTTTTTTTTTTTCTTGTAAGTTGAGGATCTGTCTACATTTGAAATAGCATTGCCTTTTATGCTTTCCAACAGACAATTATTAGTATGTTTCTCTATAATATCTTAGTTTTTCTTAGATATTTTGAATTTTGATGGCTTGGTTAAAAGCTGTCAGATGGAGAAGCAGCTTCCTACCATCTCCTGGAAACTTAAAATCTTTGAGAACTAGATCTTAAGTTTGAGGATTAAACCAAACTGGGTCTGTGTGGGTGTCATTGGTGTCATGTGTCATGTGTAAGGCCTACAGTCCTCTGATCATAGCGCTGTGCTTTTTCTGACTGCTTAGGCAGCTGGTCTTGTCATTCTCTTCCTTAGAGATATGGACTTATCTTCCACCTGGGCCAGCATATAGCACAGGCACTTTTCAATGTCATTTTGTACTCTGTAATTAACAGTACAATCCTGGCATCAGAGAACTTGCCAGAGACCTCAGAAGCAAACTTCTGTGTTGCCAGAGCTGACTTGCAACAGTTGCTAATTTGAGCAGAATAATCCAGTAGGCTCACCACAGATTCCCTAGAATTGTCAGAATTTGCTCCTTTGTGATTAGAGTTTAATCCTGAAACATCGCTTTTAAGTGTTCTTAATCACAGAGACCACATCTGCCTAATTTGTACCTAAAAAAAAAAAAAAAACAAAAAAAAAAACAAAAAAAAACAAAAAAAACTTTCTATCTTAAGAGTAATTTTAAATCATTGTTTATCACTTCTTAGATTTCCAAGACATTTACCTCCCTCTTGTAAAACTACAGAAATATTTCTATACCTACACCATATCTCCTGAGAGTCCTGGCGTCCCCTAAGGTACTTTCACTTGCTATGAATCTGTAGGGTGCACAGCCATGATGTTTCTGCTCAATTCTGACTTTCATTGCTCTTGGTCTTCAGAGTACTAGTCCATAGTCAAGCTTTAGAGACAACTTTGATTAAGTATATAAAGTTTCTAAATATGCTTATAACTCTACTGAAGTCATATATTATATACTTTATATATGTGTATGCAATGGGTTTATTTTTAGTCTGATGCAAAGTCAGAGTGAACATAAGATTATGAGGTACTGGTTTTCTTTCATAAACAAAAAGTGAATTCCGTCCTTTTATTTTTGTTGATGGCATTTTCTTCCCATTCTAGGTTCACTGTTTACCCTTCACTGCTCTTTATAAAAGTAGGATGGCAAATATTTGGTTGATGCTACATGTTAATTTTCTGTTGATGCTAACATACTTTAGTTTGATGGCTTTAAAGAGCAATTATTTATTGGACTGTAGTTTTGTGGGTCAGGAGTCTATGTGAGCTTGATTGAATTCTTTCCTAACAGCTTCCCAAAGTCAAAATCAGGACTTGAGTTCTTATCTGAAGCCTTTTAATAAGAATCGGACCCTTCATCTGTTGGCAGAAATTGTGGGCCCAAAGGCCTCTCCTTGAAGGCTACCAGTGGAGGATGGAGGGATGGAAGTGATCTGTCTTCTGCAGGCCACTCTGAATGCTTTTTGCTTCAAATTCAGTAACCTGCTGTGTTCTGTCCATGCTCTGAATCTCCCTAGGACTCTTGCAACAAAATGAAAAAAAAAAAAAAAAAAAAAAAAAAAAAGTTTGTGATTAAGTTAGGCCCATGTGGCAATAATCTCCATATTTAAAAGTAGCATCTTTCAATTTTTTCTGCAAAACCCTTTTTGCAATGTAACATAATGTAATTGCAAAGTGACTAGGGGCAAAGGTATGGTCAGTCATCTTAGAATTGCATCTGCCTCATCCAGAGCCAAGGATCACACTAGCCCTAGTTTCCAAATTGTGTTAAAAGAAACTTAGGTTACTGGCTTGACTCTGTGGTAGTCTTCCCCATTCGGGTTACAACCCAGGGCAGACCCTGATTCCTGGAGGCAAAGGGACCTTCCCAGCTCTCTATCAAGTGGGTCAAGGGATTGCTACCCAAATGGACCTGCTCATCTTAGGTGTGGATTCATTTATTCCTCCTCACCAAAGCCCAGCTTGGTAAAAATGTTTTCCTGGATAGCCCTCCCTGGGACAGGCAGGGCCAAGAATCAACTCAGCTGGTATTGTCATGGATCTCTGTCTCCCATTTCAAGTACCGACTCCTGCCCCAGAATTTCCTGGAAAAGAAGATGAAAGGCTAGAAAGAGTAAAGGCCCGAGACCTTGCTGCAAATTCCTTGTAATTATTTTTCTCTATTTGTCTCAGGGCATGGAAAGGTCAAAACCAAATTGTACTTTTATTTTTATTTTTAGTAATAGCTCTTAGCTTGTTCTAGTACAACTGCTTCCTGCCCTCATCATCAAGTCTTTCTTGCATTATGCTTTTTAGTGGTCATATTATAAGAATACCTTATATTTTAGGCACATTCAGATACCTTTTTGAAGTAAAGAACTATAATAAAGAACTCATGAATATATTAAGGGATACCTAAGGAAGAGAATTTGACTTTGTAATCAAAAGATAAACTCGCTGATTTTTTTTTAATTTTGCTTTTATTTATTTTATTCCATTTATGTGACTTGGTTCTTTGCGGAGTCATATAAATAAAATCTTTAGCAGGGAATATCAGGTTACTTATTTTAAGAATAATCATGCAAAACCACTCTGGAAATCAATCTGCTTTCTCAGACAATCAGGAATAGTGCTTCCTCAAGATCCAGCTATACCACTCCTAGGCATATATCCAAAATATGCTCAAGTACACAATAAGGACATTTGCTTAACCATGTTTGTAGCAGCTTTATTTGTAATAGCCAGAAGCTAGAAACAACCCAGGTGCCCCTCAACTGAGGAATGAATACAGAAATTGTGGTGCATCTACATAATGGAATATTGCTCACCAACAAAAAACAAGGAAATAATGAAATTTGCAGGTAAATGGTGGGAACTAGAAAAGATCATCCTGAGTGATGTATCCCAGAAGCAGAAAGACACCAGGGTATATATTCACTCATAAGTGAATATTAGACATATAATATAGGATAAACCTAAAGAAACTAATCAAGAAGGAAAACTCTGGCTAAAATGCCCAATCTCCATTTAGAAAGGCAAAGAAGATGGACATCAGAAGAAGGAGAAAACAGGGAACAGGACAGGAGCCTGCCACGGAGGGCCTCTGAAAGGCTCTATTCTGCAGGGTATCAAAGCAGATGCTGAGACTTATGGCCAACCTATGGGCAAAGTGAGAATCTTATGAAAGAAGTGGGAAACAGTAAGACCTGGAGAAGACAGGCACTCCACAAGGAGAGCAACAGAACCAAAAAAATCTGGGCCCAGGGGTCTTTTCTGAAACTGATACTCCAACCAAGGACCATTCAGGGAGATAACCTAGAACCCCTGCACAGAGGTAGCCCATGGCAGTTCAGTGTCCAAATGGGTCCCATAGTAATGGGAACAGGGACTGTCTCTGACATGAACTGATTGGCCTGCTCTTTGATCACCTCCACTGAGTGGGGAGCAACCTTACCAGGCCACAGAAGAAGACAATGCAGCCACTCCTGATGAGACCTGATAGACCAGGATAAGAAGGAAGGAGAGGAGGACCTCCCCTATCAGTGGACTTGGGGAGGGGCATGCGGTGGAGAAGGGGGAGGGAGGATGGGATTGGGAGGGGAGGAGGGAGGGGGCTACAGGGGGGGGAATACAAAGTGAATAAAGTATAATTAATAAAAATTAAAATTAAAATATTTTAAAAAGAATAATCATGCAAATGCATAATTTTTGAGAAGCAAGCATGAAGTATTTATTTAGAAAGAGAAAGAAATCACAATAAAATATATTTGAAAATACTAGGGCCTGTTGTTGTAGCCCAATAGGAAGAGTGCTTGTCTCGCCTGCAAAAGCCCTAGGTTCCAGCCTCAGGACCTATAAGATAGATGCAGTGGTGCAGAGCTGTCACCCCAGAGCTTAGAAGGCAGAGGCAGGAGCATCAGGTGAATTCAGAATCATTCTTGGCTTCATAGTAAGTATGAGGCTAGCCCGGTACCCCATGATGCCCTGTTTGAAAAAAAAAAAAAAAAAAAAGACAAAAAATTAAAATTATTTTTGAAAAATAGTATTTTTAGTAACTAATTTGCCTGGTGGTGATGTGCGTTATAGGCTTCTGTAAATGCATTCTGTCCTATATGTTAAATCTATAATTTTTAAGAGTCAAGAATCATGACTGTCATACCTTGTACATATTAATAGCTTTAGCATTACAAATAGAATTTTGAGGTAGGTGGGTGATACATGCCTTTAATACTACCAGTCAGGAGGCAGAAGCAGGTGGATTTGAGGTCGGCATGGTCTACAAAGTGAGTTCCAGGGCAGCCAGAGCTACACAGAACGATGCTGTCCGAGAAAAAGAAAGAAAGAAGGGAAGGAAGGAAGGAAGGAAGGAAGGAAGGAAGGAAGGAAGGAAGGA